CATACATATATATATATATATATATATTTGTGTGTGTGTGTAAATATAAAATTTTAGTTGTTGGATATCTGAATATATAAAACTTGTGTGGCATTTAAGTAAATGCCTCATAATTTTAATTTTTATATCAAATATAATTTGACCGGTCAGTTGCTATTTGCCAACCCCTAGCAACCAGTGTAGTAACGTTACACTTTACCATGCAGAAGCCAGCGGTCGTAATGGCAACCAAAGTGGCGGCCGTGATGCGTGGAGCCCATCGGGACGAATTGGGCCTACTGTCTTCAAAACCCTAGATCTAATCCATTGGCATCAGCTACAGAATGGTGAGACCTTGAACGCAAGCAAGCACAGGCAACGAAGGAATCTACCGAAGAGTGAGCCGAAGCTCCAACAATGGCCATCCCCTTCACCTCCGGGTGCTCCCCCCTTCTCTTCGCCATCCTCCTCTCCCTCATCAACTTCGCCCCCAAAACCCAGGCATCAGCAACGCCTATTTCCTTCACCTTCGATCATTTCCCTAGAAATCTCACCTTGGACTCCGCTATAGCTCTCTACGGCGATGCCACGGTTGAAGATTCCGCCATTAGAATGATCGGCGCCGGAAAGATCCTTTACAGGAAACCTTTCAAGTTCTTGTGGGGAAAGGGAAACCCTGGGTTCTCCACCTATTTCTGCTTCTCCATTTCACCTTCCGGGGCAAATAACCTTGCTTTTTTTCTTGATTCGGCTGATCCACGGCTGTTTCGCATCTCAAAAAACATTCTTTTGGTGGAACTTACTAGCAATGCCAGCGGTGGTCACGTCGGGATTAGGGTTGCTCGTGAATCAAATACTGAAAGCTGTAATTTTTCTTCGAGTGATGATATTGTGAAAAGCGGGGGGAAGCTGCATTCTTGGGTCGAGTATGATGGGCTTTTAAAGAGAATTGAAGTGAGGTTGAGCAGATTTAGAGCTTGGAGACCTGTGAGTCCATTCATCTCCTGTCCAGTTGATATGTCCAGTGTCTTGCAGATGGAGGCACTGCTAGTGGGTATAAGCTCATCAAGTGATCATTCTACTTCGACAGAAAGAAATTCAAATCTCGGCAGCTTTATCTACGCTTGGAGCTTTGTAGTTAAGCATGGAGCTTCATATCGGATGCATTCCGAGCCTCTTGATCCTCGTGCATACCTTGTGGCTTCTGAGGATGGATCCAAGATTCATCAGAGAAGTAGTTACAGCAGGTTCAATGTCATGGCATGGTTGTTTGGGCTTGTTTGTGGTGCTTTGATGGCATTCATGGTGGTTATTGCGTGGAATGTGATTTCTTGCCGGAGTCCAGTTTCTGCTGTGAAGTTTACCGTGCACCCTGTGGAAGCTGGCGATGAAGAAGCTGTGACGGTTAGCGAAAAAGGTACAAAAACTGCACCGACCTAAAAAGATAATGGAGGTCTGCTCTTCACTGTAAATTTAGATGTTTCCACGCTTTAGTTTCAGTATTTGAATGTCTTGTATGATGGAAAATGTAGCTTTTGCGCCAAGTGTTCGCAAATGCTGCAATTTCCATGTGAAAGTAACTGTTTTAACAACGAACTCTTTGATGGCTTAAGATAGAAGCAGAGCAATGTGGTACTGATTTCCATTTACAAGCTGCTAGTTGTGGTAAATGTGTGCATTTAGTTATTCAACATAATTTTCAGCTGAATGTTGGGGTTGATGTTCTCTGATAAATGTCACGGTATAATTATGTTTTTCTTTCATAGATTATGTTTTCTTTTCATACTATATCTTGAATGTGAAGGCTTGTAAATTGACTCTTTTATTGCAAGTTTTCTTCGATGATGTTATAGTTTCTTATTTTCATTGCAATAAATATTGACATATACATTTCCAACTTAAAAAACAAAATACATAATGGTAAGAAGATAGTATCAAGTTACATCGTATTTAGCTACAATATTTTTAAACATTAAATAATAATCAAACATACAAGAGTTAATTTATTTATAAATTTTGAATTGATAAGTAATTTGGTTTTATATTCATTTGATTTGCAATGTCATAAATTTGAAGCTTTTATGTTAGAAAATGTGATATTAGGCAATAATTTAATTACAAGATGTTTTCTATATTAGAGTAATTCAAAATTTAGAGAGTTGGGAGTGTGTATAAATATGTAATATATATATATATATATATATTACATATATATAACTGATATATTCATTAATTTTATATATATATTCAATTGTGAATAAAAAGAAAGTAAGTTTTTTCGTCATATGGTATCAGAGCTTCGTCGAATCTTTCCAGTCTACATCTTTCGTCTTCCACATTAGTATTTGGGAATCGTTCGTCTTCTTTTGCAACTCGGGCCTATTCTGGCTTCGTCGACGTCTTTGACTGCTTCCTGTGATGTCATCGTTAGTAGCTCGGGCTCGTTACGACTTTGTCGATGTCTTCAACTGCTTTCTACGATGTCATCTTCTGAGGATAGGACTCATTCTGACTTCATTGAAGTCTTTGATTGCTTCTTGTGATGGCATCGCCTAATTCTTGTAATTCGTCTACTTCAGATGACGCCATTTGCATCTACCTAGCCTTCGATTTCGTCTGCTTCGAACGATGTCATCAGCATTTATTTGAAAGCATAATATGCATGTTACCGTTGTTCATCTGCATCTGCTTCATCCGCTCGATTTGTGTCGATGAGATTAGGGCTTCGATGAGGCCGACGTCTTCTTAGATTGATTTCCTCAGTTGTTGTGTTCCGGTGTATGCTTCCTTTGCTTAGGTTGATTTTCTCGGTTATTGTGTTTGACCTTTTTTGACTTTGCTAGTTCATTTTTTTTCCTTTATTCAACGATCATTCAATTTATTATCTCCTAGTGCTTTGGCAGTTTGTCCTTTAGCACTGAATGACATCGATTATGGTGAGTGAACACAAACACTTTGAGATAGATTTGGTTTCATGAGCGGCTAAGATTATAGATGAAAAACAAAATATCATCAATTAGTTTTGCTGGAATAAAATTGTTAGACTATTTAAGGAATATTTTCCAAGAGAGTCACCTACTTAATAATCTCCCAGCTGATAGTTAGTCGAATTATTCTGAGTGGTACAAATATGGAACTCTATCGAATCTGATCAATCTAGTCATATTCTTCATTGCAACTGTGTTAAAGATGTGATGGAAGAATTGACATTTCTGTTTTCTGGGATAGAAAATATTTCTTTAATTTTTTATGTATGCAAGGATTTCTATCGAGTTGAACAACATGATCAATCACTTAACACATATCACATGCACTTTAACTTATGTAAGAAAAATTGAACTTGATAATGCCCTTCAGTACCAATGTCCGGATTCAGCAGACTCAGAGAGATTTAACGATTATTATGAGTTTTCTATCTAGCCTCAACTCTTAGTATGAAGATGTCGAATCACAAATCTTATAAGACCCTGGATGCACTACTCTGAGTTTGTTTTATACCATCTTTCGGTGCCCCCCTCTTGGTTGGTTTGAGATGTTCATCATCGTTATCCCTGCTCTTATGAGGCACGAGTGACCGCCCGGTGGAATGTAAATCATTTGTTGGAGCATGACCCCCAATAGATGTAGCTGCGCTACCTTTGAGTCTTTTATTTTGCCATACATGTTTGGTCCACTGTCCATTTATAAGAGGGAGTCCCCTCTTTTTTGCTCGTTCTTTTTTCCTTAAGCCTTTATATCCCTTTTACTTTTAGTTAATGCAATATGCAACCTTTCAAGGATGTATTACACTAAGGGAAGCCTATACTAGAGTATTGCGTACAATTTCGAGTTCTCATGCCTCATCCATATAACAATCTAGTGCTCTTGCTAATCAGAAAATACATACATTAGTAAATTTCAGCCTCAGGATAGTTATAGAAGTGGAACTCCGAATTCTTGAAATTAGAGGTTGAAGGTTATGTGCTATTATTGTCATGAACTTGGTCATACGAAAAGAACATGTCAGAAGTTGCTTAAAAAGAACCAAAAGGTTTCTAAATCACAAACAACTCACGTGGTTACTACTAATGACACTTCTCTAAGTCAGACTCTTGATCTGTGCAGATGAATATGCTAAGTTCATCAAATTTTAAGAAACAACCAAGAAATTCTCATCTATCACTACCCTTACTGAGTCAGGTAAGTGATACTTGTTTTCTTTCCTCTTCTACATAATGGATCATTGATTCGGGTAATATATATCACATGATAGGTAATCCAAAACTCTTTTATACCTTTCATATGCATCTGTCTTCCGTCACTTTAGCAGATGGATTTACCTCTAATGTTCTTGATTCTAACACCATCAATATTACACCTATATTGCCTTTAATTTTTGTTTCTAGTTTACCTTAATTCGATTTTAATGTTGTTTTTGTTAGTAAATTTACATATGCTCTTAATTGTTGTATCTTATTTTTTCTCGAACATTGTCTAACTCAAAATCTTATGACAAATAAGATTATTGATAAAGGATGAGAATGTTGGGGTGGGCTATACATTTATGATAACGAGATACCTCGACTCGTAGCCTGTTCCGATGCCTTATCTCCTTTTGAGATCTGTTGTCGATTATGACCATCACTATCAATGTTGAAAAAATTGCACCCTCAGTTTCAGTAGTAATCATCTTTAGATTATGAGTCGTTTTAATTTGTCAAACACCATCATTTGTATTATGTTCCCATAGTTAATAGTGCCCATTTTGGTGGCATATCGGCATTGTCGGGGTATATTTTAATTCTTTTCCCGGTGAATAAACCTTTTTTGGATCCATTCAAGTAAACCATAGTTTTGGGTTAGTTTATTTTGATGTATGGGGACTTTGTCCTATTTTATCTGATAGGTTTAGATATTTTATCTTTTTTGTCGATGGTTTTTCTCGTATGCTTTAGCTTTACTTTATGAAATCTTGTACCAAGTTATTGGCTTCATTGCTAATGAGGATGTCATCATTACCATTATAGATGCCATAAGAAGTCATTTTAAAGGTCAATAGTGCCATGATGGGATATGTCGAAGTAGAGAAAGTTTATCAATTGGTGGAAAGGCATTGTTTTGAGGAATTTGATCCTAGGTCTTATATAGGAAGGTCGCGGAGTGACCTTGTTGGCGGCACAATTGAAACTTGCCAAAATAGGGCATTTGGTTGACATTGAAGGTAGGTGGCCATGTATTTTTGGAGGAGGGTGGGTTAGAGAGACAATGTTGGTTGTATTGATATTGATTTAGTATGTGTTAGTTGGGTAGGTTGGTCATTCTTGTTGTTGGAATCATTGGGATTTGAAGAATGGCTAGGTTTAAAAGCCAAGTTTGTGCTAGGAAGAACGATAATTTTCTTTTGCGTTTTCAAATTGAGATGTGCTTCAAGGTTAACGAGTTGTTCATATAGTTCATCAAAGTTGATGAGTTTCACAAACATGAAGAGCAGAGCAAAGTGATTGTAACCATCCTCGAGGAAATTAGAATGACAACAGGAATTCTTAGAAAGAAGCTTCATGATCAAATCAGGAGTTGAATTGTTTAACATAGTGGGTTCATCAACCATCATCTCTATATATTGCAAATTAAAGTTCTTGTTTGCATGCCTTTGTTAGAAGACGGAGTTGATCTTTTAACTGATTAAGATGACCATGAGTAGGCTTGGCATAAGTTTTATACAATATTGTCCATGCTTCACAAGATACTTTTAAAGACGTGATGAAGGGGAAGGAAAGATTTGGCTATGACACTTAGAATGAGTGAATCTTATCAAATCTAGAAGCTGTTATTTTGATTTTTTTTGTTCTTCAATCATCTATTTTGACAATCGGTAAAGGATGAGGACAAAATCAATCAAATATTATATTCAATAAGGGGCCCGGAATTCAAAACACCAAGAGTTGTAGTTGGTAGATGTGAGCTTTGTTGATTTAAGAGGTAATTTTGATAGAGGCAACGGAAAAGATTTGGAGAAAAGGGGCTGTTGAGAGGATTAGAGACGAGTAGCTATAGCTGATGAGACGAAAACATGGTCTTGGGGCTGTTATTTGTGCTGACCCTTGCAGAGAAAAGAGGCCTGCTTTTAAAAGCTTAGAATATCTTTGATTTGTATCTTACAATATCATGTGTTTTGCTAATAAAAGAAAAACTGAGAGAAAGTAATTACAGGAGAAATTAGAAAAGTAATTAAACACGACAAATGCTATAAGTAATATTGTGAATTAATGGCAGCAAAAAATTTAATATCTTATGATTGCTCATGTTGGCATGACTTTGTTAGGTATGAAGTTTCATGGAAAAGAGATTTTAAAAATAATTTATGAATGGGTAATAAAATCACTTGGTCATGTACAAGCTTAAGAACCTTCCATAAAAAGCTTAAGGTGAGATATGTACCATCCATGTCTTGCAGTTAAGAATAAGGCTTTAAACCTCCTGCACCAGAATGCGCAGGGAAAAAAAAAAGGAATGAGAACTGTTTGGATCACAAAAATCACAGCTTAATCAGCACATATTTTGATGCATAGCAAGCATATGAAATAAATTTAGAAAAATCATAACTTGATCTCATATAATTTGGTTGAATTAGAGATCAGATAAGCTTTTTAGAGCACGAAAAACTTGAATGATCTGGTGCATTGCGTCGAGTCTGTTGATGCATGGATTAAATCTCCTTTATGTGTGTGTGGCCATGGGCAATTGTAAAGGAGGCCTTCCTTCTTAAGTATGATGGCAGCAATCGGGAGGCCATCAAGATCCCCATCCCATTGCCCACCAAATTCATCTCACTTTGAACCACACGTCGGCTAATTCCAATCGCACCGGGGCGCACTCTTTATTCTTTATTTCGCAATTTGTTCTCGAAGATTCAAGTATCAAACTTATCAAACCAATTGTGCTTTCAACACTTCAATGAAAAATATGCTCATATGATATGAAAATGATGTGCATTTATGTTGGTTTAGTTGTTTTATTTTTATTTTTAATTTATATTTGATGTAACATGCCTATGATTGGTTTAATTTATTTGTTACAAGCTTGTGTGTATATTTTTTAATGTGAATTATTTTGCTTCATTGCAAACCTTGACAACTTCAAAGGGATCCTACTTCTTATACTGATTGAAATAGCCCATATCTTCAAATTTGTGACATCTATCCTTATTGTTTCATCTAAATAAGTTTGTGATTGGTTTGTTTATGTGATTGAGATTTCATCTATATCGTTTCATATTGATTTTTGATTTTATGATATAAATTTTTAATGTTGTTTAGTCTTATTTACATTTTTTTTATTTTCTGTGAATGTTTCTATTTTATTTTTTATTATTATTATCTTTTGGAGTGTATAAAGGGTTTTTTTTTTTTTTTTTTTTTTTGCAAATCTTTGCCTAAAATAACAATTAGTAAAGTACAAATTGTAAATTTTCTATGTTTCTTTGTGCATCCCGCCAATCCTAGGTTTGAATTAGTGAATCTAGGACCCTGAGACATCTTGCATATATAGTTATTAAAACTTTGTTTTGCATTATCATTTCAACAAGTATGATGTAATAATTACGTTACTTACTAAAACAACCAAAATACAATGTATTAAATCATGTGGGCTATGGTCCTGCACAATAAAAACTGATTTATTGTTCAATATTATATTCTTACATTTGATGGAAGATATTGTTGGGTTGTCTGAAGCCAAAGCACGACGACAGACAGTAAGGCTGGCTGGCGCTAGCCATGGGTGCATATGTCCCCACTCTTTTGGTGCCTCTTTTGGTGCCTAGGCACTTGGACAGTGAAGTTGGCACATAGGCGCCGACCTTTAGGAGCCTAAGCTTGCGCAGCAAAAAGCCTAGCGCACATGCGCCAAGTTTGGGCGCATATGCGCCAGGGGCAGTTTCTCGCAGATTTTTGGTTTCATGTCCAAATTCAAGCTGCGAAAAGGCTGAAACTTCATGAATCTTCTTTTTGTATTCTTTACGAGCATCCTGGTGAATGTGAGAAGTGTCGAAGAGATGAATTTTTGTGATTCGGCTTGATTCTTGCATCGTATCGGAGATAGAAGATTGCGTAGTAAGTCCTGTGAGTTTTCTTTGTGTGTGAAGAGGAAACTTGTGTGAGTTCTTTGTAAAACCTTCTGAATTTTATAGTAGAAATTTCTGGTAGTGCGGCTCTATGATTTTTTCCCTTTCTCGGGTTTTTCCATGTAAATTCCCACGTGCTTTTATGATTGCTTTGATTGTGCTTTCTACTTAAGGTTTCTTCCGATTTTCTCGAATTGGTGTGATCCCGTCATTCCGCGGAATGTTTTAATTTATAATTGATCCTAAGGCTCTTTAAGTTGGGAATTATTTGGAATTTCCTATCTGAAATGATCTTTGAGATGTTTTAAAATAACTAGATAATTTGGAAGATTTCTTTGCATGCCACCCTTTGTTTGATTTTATAAGAGTAAAAACAGCTAACATGAAATTAATGTGAGATGCTCAATTTTATTGATGTAATGATACAATTGAAATAAAATTAACATGGACTATATGAAACATAAATATTAAGAGATATTTTATGAATCAATGATGTGACAAAAAAAATTGCTTTCTTTTTTATTCATAATTTAAAATATTATGAAATATTTATGAACACTCTCAACTCTCTAAATTTGGAAAAGCTCTAATATAGAAAAGATATTATAATTAGATTTCTTTTAATTAGGTTACATTATATCAAGTTTCCTGATATATGAACTTCATATTTATGTCTTTCATAACACTCACCCTTAAGCTGCAGTATAGATATTTATCATACCCAGTTAGTTATAAATATGGGTGACTCTAGCTCTATTAAAGACGTTTGTGAAGATATCTCCTAATTTTTTCTTAGTCTTCACATGAGCTGCAGAAATTAGATTCAGATAAATCTTTTCACAAACAAAATGACAATCTATCTCGACGTGCTTAGTTTATTTATGATGACATAGTTTGAGGCAATGTGGATTGTAGCTTGGTTATCAGACCACAACTTTGCTGGAACTATCATTTTAAAACTCATATCGATCAAGAGTTAGGATATCAACTTCAGTTCACTCGAAGCTTGTGTCATCACTCGATACTCATATTCAACATCGAATCGTGACGCTATATTGTGTTTCTTACTTTTCCATGAAACCAAATTACCACCAACAAAGATGCAATATCCAGTAATAGAACTTCGATCAATCTTGGAACTTGCACAATCTGCATAAAAAAATGATATTTTTATGTCCTTGATCCTAATATAAAATATCTTATACAAAAGATCCCTTGAGGTTCCATAATATTTGTTCCAAAGCATACCAATGATAAACTGTAAGGGAAGAAATAAAATGATTTATTGTGCTAACTGAATGCACAATGTTACTATGAAGTGATTTAATTTCCCACTAACTTCCTATGTCGTTCAAGATCCTTAAAAAACTCTTAATTCTGGGTAAGTTGTTGATCAGAAAGCATCTTAGTACTCCATGGTTTGACCCCTAATTTTTCAGTTTCTGCTAAAAAATCTAACACATACTTCCGTTAAGATAGAAATATACTCTTCTTACTCCTTGATATCCCAATCCCCAAACAGTACTTCAAGGAACCGCTATTTTTTGTGCTGACTTGATTTTGAAGCAACAATTTCAAAGATAGCTTCCATGCACATCGTTTTCAGTAATCATAATATAATCAACATAAATCACAAATAGAATTATTCCTGAAGCAAATTGCTTATAGAATACAATGTGATCATTTCTACTTTTCTCCATCCTAAACCCTACTGATTGGCTAAATTTTTCAAACCATACTCAAAGGCTTTGTTCCATATAAAAACTTCTGAAAAAGACATGCTTTCTAAGACTCCCCCTGAGCAACAATCCCAAAAGGTTGATTCATGTATACATCCTCCAAAAGATCACCATGCAGAAAAGCATTTGTCACATCTAACTGGTGCAGTGGCCAATTATTCCATATAGTCAAGGACAAGAGTAGGCAAACTAAAGTGAACTTAGCTATCCGAGAGCAAGTGTCAAAATAGTCTATCCCATAAGTTTAAGCATAATCCTTAGCAACCAACCGAACTTTGAGGCGAGCTATAGATCCATCAAACTAAAATTTAACTACAAAGACACACTTATAGCCAACAACCTTCTTGCCAGAAGGTAGTTCAATTAGTTCCCAAGTTTCATTTTTAATTAAGGCATTCATCTCATCAAGCATCATTGTCTGCCATCTATAATGGGATGGAGCTTGCTAAACAGGTCTTGAAACAGAGTCAAAAGAAGCAATAAACGAGCAAGAATTGCAAGACAACTAATTATAGTGAACATGAGAAAATGAGATAGACACATTGATGTTTATCTATTAAAAGAGCAATAAAGTAAATTAAGGTTACTGGGAGGAGGATCCATTGAGGAAGATAATACAGGTGTCAGACTATGATTAGAGGAACGAGGTCTTCTCAAGTAAACATTAATAGTAGGTGGTCAAAGCTGGGGCACTAGAGGTGAAGCTAGAGCAGAATCTGAACTTATGATGTGATACATTAACAGCTCATCAGAATCTTATGATGATTTTGGCATCAATGAGAAAAAAAATGGGATTTGTTCATGAAAGATAACGTTAGCAAACTCATGTACCTATTTAAGAGAGTAAAAACATCGATATCCTAAACAAAATAAGTACACCTAAATATGCATGATCCAATAGTAAAGGAGAAATAATAATTAAAACTTGGTAGTGTATGGTTCTATAGAACACTTGAATGCATCTAATTGATAAAAAAATATACAGTAAAAAAACTGCATCAGCTTATTTTATGTCCATAATTGCTTAGGCACATTTGTTTAAAACAAAAGCTTTCAAATCGTCTCAAGACATCTTATTTTATGTCATGTACTTTTAAAAGGGTCTATAAAAATATTATTTAGCATTGTCACTTCTCGAAATTTTAATTGAAATATTGAATTGAGTTTTAATTTTGACATAAAAAATTTAAAATTATGACAGGTATCCCATTATTCATATTGGGTTTAATATGCCTCCACTTAACCATTTACCTTGTCTAATGTGTTGTGTATCTATTATGCAAAAATCATAACTTTATTTATTTATTTATTTATTTATTTTGTGAGGATTGTTGAAAATGGGCAATACTTGTGCAGGGAAAAACTTGAGATGGATTTATGCGTATTTGATGTCAACTACTAATTAACCACCATTACTTGACATGCTCACTTTCACCACGCTTTCTTTTTTGTGCAACTCATTTTATCATAACAAGCACACAAATTATTTATTTGTAAGTTATTTCTCTTGACAACTAGTGCTCTACAATTAGTGTTGTTTTAGTATTTATGCTTCAACAATTTACTTGTGTGACAATTATAAATAGTCATTTTTGTCGATCATTTCACTTGCTACATCAGGATGTATTTTCTCGGAAGAAGTTTGATGCGCGTGCTAATTTCTCCCTCTTCAAATCCATTGTTGAAAATTTTTTTGGGCGCCACCCAAATCCTAGCTGTGATGATGCGTGCAAGGGTGTGGACAAGGAGAACACCAATTGAAACTTGGTTTAGATCAGCCACATCTCAAATGTTACGATTCTCCTCTCAACACAATTAAAAGACAGATCTTATAACCCCAACATAATAGGCCCCTTTATGCAAGCCATTCCATACCATTTCTCTTAAATCCCGGAATGATACCAAGCAATGTTTGACTAATGCACTTCTCCATAATTTTACTTGGGATTTTGTTGCGTTTAGAATTTTTAATTAATCAATAAATTAATTGTTGCAAAAAAATTTATAAAATTATTTATTGATTTCTATGCTTGAAAATCCAGATACTTGTTTAAATTTTTAGCTCGTTTAAATATTCATTCACTTATTATAAACAAATCAAATTCAAATATTGAAAAATTTAAACAAACCAAGCTTGAACAATAAATGAAAGCTCAACATAATCTCCAGTCAAGTCCGAACTTTGATATACACGGCTCAATTACAACCCTTATGATATACTCGGCTCAATTATGATGAACAAGAGTTCCTTTTTTGTTTCAATGTGCAAAATGCAAAGCAAAGCTGTTGTAGTGTGGAATATTTTCCTCAGCTAATATAAATGAACAAAATATAGATGATGTATATTGAATGCATATAGACTACTTGTAGCGTGGAACATTTTCCTTAGCTAATCATTCTAAATCACAGCATTAGCAATGATGTCCATTAGTTGAAAATAAAACGAAGACGATGATTTTCAGTGGAACATTAACTAAACAGAACATCAAACAAAAAATTGCAGTGTTTCAAAGCATCGAACGAGTTGATTCTCAAAAAATTCAAAATAAAAGCATAAAACCAAATCAAACTACTAACTATGACACTAATAATTCCCATTCAACTAAGATTTGGACTCTGCTCAATTACAAACTGAGCTTGCAACTGGAAGTTGCAGAAGCTCCCACCTTTCACGTTTCCTGAGCTTCCTCTTCCTCCTCATAATATCCCTCTTCATCAGCTGTGGCGTCCTGATACTGCTGGTACTCTGACACGAGATCATTCATGTTGCTCTCAGCCTCCGTAAATTCCATCTCATCCATTCCTTCGCCTGTGTACCAATGCAGGAAAGCCTTCCTCCTGAACATTGCAGTGAACTGCTCACTCACCCTTCTGAACATCTCCTGTATCGAAGTTGAATTCCCGATAAAAGTGGAGGCCATCTTCAAACCGGTTGGAGGGATGTCACAAACAGTTGACTTGACATTGTTCGGAATCCACTCCACAAAATAGGATGAGTTCTTGTTTTGCACATTCATCATTTGTTCATCCACTTCCTTGGTGCTCATCTTGCCCCGGAACATGGCCGAAGCTGTCAGATAGCGCCCATGCCTTGGATCTGCAGCGCACATCATGTTCTTTGCATCCCACATTTGTTGGGTGAGCTCCGGAACTGTGAGGGCACGGTATTGCTGAGAGCCACGGGAGGTCAGGGGAGCAAAGCCAACCATGAAAAAGTGCAGACGTGGGAAGGGGATGAGATTAACAGCTAGTTTCCGAAGATCGGAATTGAGCTGACCAGGGAATCTCAGGCAGCATGTTACTCCCGACATTGTCGCTGATATTAGATGGTTCAAGTCCCCAACTGCTCATAAAGACCAAAGAATGTCAGAAATGGAAACTGGAGTGGGTGTTTAACATTGAACAGAGAAGAATGAACTTACAGGTAGGAGTCGAAAGTTTAAGGGTTCTGAAACAGATATCATAAAGAGCCTCATTATCAAGGACCATGCATTCATCAGCGTTTTCCACGAGTTGGTGAACTGAGAGAGTCGCATTGTATGGCTCCACAACTGTATCTGAAACCTTTGGAGAAGGGAAAACAGAGAATGTCATCATCATTCTATCAGGGTACTCCTCCCTGATTTTAGATATCAGGAGGGTTCCCATGCCTGACCCAGTTCCTCCTCCTAATGAGTGACAAACCTGGAATCCTGGGAAGAATAACACAGATTGAACTTTGGTCAACTAATCATAGCAAACAACAGACAAGATACTTCAAGAATGATCACAGGGCAACCCCAAATCAGAGTCGTAAAAAACAAAATAAAATACAAACTGTCACAGAGTTTGACAAAAATAAGCGACTACTCACCAGAAACATAGAAAACAACTCCTAACAATGGCAGAATACATGTGAAACTAGTTTGAAACCCTCGGAATAAATTGAGTCAAAGAAACCCAAAAATCCGAGTATCAAAACAAAACATCAAACATTGAAAGCGGAATAAACAAAAGTCACCCAGCAACTCGTAGCCTCGCATGGAGGGAGAAGAGAGAGAGAGAGAGAGTACCCTGCAGACAGTCACAGTTCTCAGCCTCCTTGCGGACGACATCAAGAACCGAATCTATGAGTTCTGCTCCCTCCGTATAGTGTCCCTTAGCCCAGTTATTTCCTGCTCCGGACTGACCGAACACAAAGTTGTCAGGGCGAAAGATCTGACCATAGGGGCCGGACCTTATGCTATCCATGGTGCCGGGCTCAAGATCCATGAGAACAGCCCTTGGTACAAAGCGCCCGCAACTGGCCTCGTTGTAGTATACATTGATCCGCTCAAGTTGCAGATCTGTGTCACCTTGATACCTTCCGGTGGTATCAATGTCGTGCTTAGTGCACACCACCTCCCAGAACTTGGCTCCGATCTGGTTGCCGCACTGCCCGCCCTGCACATGAAGTATCTCACGCATCTTGACAGGGAAAGAAAGATGAATCTAAGAAAGTAGGAAGAGAGAGAGAGAGAGTCTTCAGAAGTGCACGTGAGAAAAATGGGCAACTGATTTAGGGCTATAAATAATTGAAGGGAGCGGCCGCAAGACCAGCAACGTCTATTTTTCCCCCCAATTTTCATTCTGCTGGCTAATAAGGGCCGTTGATTTTGAAGTGTTGGGGGTGGACGGACTGGATTGGCTCTTTCGGATTCAAAATTTGAATTTCAAATACGAATGGATGACATGGAGGGTGAGAGGTCCGTTGATTGAAGGGGAAAGGTTTCGGAGGAACTCCATTGGGATTATTTAATAACGAGGCTGCCATTTCTCCCTCAAACTTCAGGATGAAATTAAAATTTTATTTAATTAATTATTCTAAAAATAATTATTGGTATAATTTTATGAAAAATATTTCAATAACATGGCTTAAAAAATTATATATATATATATA